CATCTGGATCCATCCGGACACAAATCAGAAAAACTTTAAACAGCAGTAAAATGTTTCAAATTTTCCACAGCAGTTCTGTTAGCAGGACTGTTCAAAAGCCAAGGAGCTAAAACCAAACAAAAACAATAAGGGCTCGTTAGATGGGATAACTTAGTGCATGAGTCCTAAGTTATAAAAGACCAACCAGCCTAACATACAAAAGCAAAGGATGAAGATAAGATTCAAACAATGGCTACACTATGGGTAAAACACCTGTAACACCAAAAATCTGTATAGCAAAATTGGCCAAGGGGCAAGAAAATGAGATATTCCATTTATTATTCCCTTTCAGGGCTCTCCAATTCAGTGAATTACGCAGAAGGAATAAATTTGATAAGGCTAATGCAATAAAGAGTGAGAGTAACAGCTATCCCATTATGGCTGTTTTTTGGCTCCCTTTTCTTGGAGCTCCACAATGCACTGGAAGAATTGAAAGCTTCTTGTCCAGAAACGGGCCCTGACCAGACCAAGACAGAGAAGCACCCAACTAATACCACCAGGGACAATGTTAGAACTAAATTTCTAATACCTGTCTCTTCCCTTGTGGCTGTTTCCTGCCATACAATTGCATCCCCCCGCCCTGAAGGCAATATAAAGAAATCAGTCAAGACTGCATCTTTTGTAACACAGTTGTGAGCCCACAAAAGACAACTGCAAAAAATCTCATACCAGGGGGGTACTATTTTCTTTTCCCCAACCACACACACAGGGGACTATTACTGCCATCATTAGCGCTAACTAAGAACCAAGAAAATTCAAAGGAACTGGCAGAGGAATATCCTTATTAAAAACTCAGTGGGCAAAACAAAAGGAAGGACATTTTGCTACTACAGTGAAATTCCCCTCAACACTTTGCTTTTCAATCATACCATTCTTTTACTAAAATAAAAATAGAGAAAGGTTTTTAAGAGCCAGTTTCTGCTGAGACTAGGCACCTGAGAGTTCCATATAAGCAGTTCCAAACACTGCCTTAATGCTGATTCCCTGCACAGAGTTAACATCTTTGACTGTGTAATGTTATAAAGTGAAAAGTGCTAACACGACTTGTCATTCTCGAGGCCAATTTATTCATCAAAATTAGCACAAGCCCAAGCCTGCTGTCTTTATTCATATTGTGAATTACCAGCCACTTACTTATGTGTTGTCCCAGCAAAATTAACACAGTGAAGGATTAGTCAGGATCTAGCCCCAGAGATGATAAAAAATTTGTTTAGAGTAAGTGAAATACAAAGAATAAATATTCAAAATGAGTGATGAAAGATATGTTTGTTATTTCCATCTTAACTCCAGGGCAATGAGTAATTTCAGTAAGAATTTCTCAGTGTGATTTTTATCATTCAATATTTTAAAAATTACTACTGTGCATCCTCCACCAAAAGTTGGGATTGGAAACATTGAAACTTAAAAAATGTCAATTTCAGACATGTATGCAAAACATTATTCCCTTAAATTATGCTATTACTGACTTATGAGGTGCAAAAAGTAGTGTCAGAATTTATGAACAACTTTGTATTGTTCAAGGATTTAACGACGCATGCTCCTCTTCAAATCAGTTATACAAAGTTTCGCTTTCTCATTATATCCGGGGTTTACCCTTATCCATGCCTTTCAACGCAAAGTGTCATTTTTTCTTCAGTTCACTTCTTACTCATAAGTGCAGCGCCTCATTAATTTTTCATCAATTTACAGCACATAAGAGGGCATACATGTAAGCTAATGTCTCCATACAGTTTATGCAAAAGTTAGTAAGTCAAAGGGGACTACACTGCCTAATCTTCTCTCCATATCTGATAGCCCAGACTAGCCTGCTGCAGATGGGTCATCCTTAGCTCAAAGCCTTCCATATCGACTTCGTTCATGTCTAGTTCCACCAGGCTGGATCACCTAGCAGAGAGCTGGCTAGATCTCCTGCCAGGAGTCCCACAGCTCCTTGCAGTGTGGCAACTGAGCCACTCCAACTCTGATTTATAGTATATGAGAGAGATAAGGGCACTCCCCAGCTTCTCTGTTGCGGTTCTTCCTTACAGCCTGTCAACATCGATGCTCAGAGTTGGTAAGAGCTACTTATGCTATTACCCTGTCCGCTATCACCTAACTCAAATACAGGTGCCACAAAGTTAACACAGGTCAAGTTAATATATAGAGCCTTCTTAATTCCTCCAGGAGATCTGACATCAAAGATCAGATACATACATACCATACCATCTTAAGGCCAGGTTGTAATTTTTCTTTGGAAGTTGTTCACCCCCAGTGGCTATGGCTCAGTCAGGTAAGCCACATGGTGGATATTGGTCTCTTTTCATAAGTAACAAGAGGACAAGAGGAAATGGCCTCAAGTTGCACCAGGGGAGGTTTAGATTGGATAGTAGGAAAAATTTCTTCACCAAAAGAGATAATAAGCATAGGGGCAGGCTGTCCAGGGAAGTGGTTGAGTCACCATCCCTGGAGGTATTTAAAAGATGTGTAGATGTGGTGTTTAGGGACATGGTTTAGTGGTGGACTTGGTAGTGTTAGGTTGACGGCTGGACTCAATGATCTTAAGGGTCTTTTCCAATCTAAATGATCCTATTAATCACGTCTCACAGACCAACAGTAGCATCATGGTATTGTGTCCATCCATGATCAGATCTGACATCCCTGAAAAGATGTAAACAGAATATTGTTCTTCTTGTCTACAAAAAGTTCTCACGAATTACAATAAAATATAGGCTGCCTCAGAAGATGTGTCAATTCCGTTTAATTTTTTTTGTGAAAGGAAAGATATCCATCAAAATATAAAATATATATGCATACTTGTACTCTCCCACCCCTGTTTCTTTGCAGGTTTCACAGTGCTGGATTTTTACTCATAATTTCTGCTTTGCAGACTTGTAGAAGTACAAATCAACGTGTTCCTTCCCATATTTGGAGCGCCCATCATGTTGCTCAGTTCTGGACCACGTATGGCATGCAGGAAAAGAGACTGGACTAGAAAAAAAAAAAACAAAAACCAAAACAGTTTCTTTTACCTTTAATTGGTTCCTTTTACAGAAAAGCTGAACGTAGTAAAATGCCACAACTCTACCTTACTCTACTAACCCGCCTGTAATAACTTTCTTTCTTCCTGTTCCCATTTACCCTGTCCTCAAAAAGTTTCACAGTTTCTGGTTTCACGGTGGTGTTCAATGTACTGGCCATGCAAAATCCCCTATGTCTTGTAGCTAACCAGTATGTGCGTAGGCAGGCTCTGGGTAAAGCTCTGTGGCCTGCAATAGGAAGAGCAGCCTAGACAGCCCCTTCTGGGTTTAATCCATGAAATTACTGCCTTCAGTCAAGGCTCCATTTTAACAAGATTATTTGAACAATTTCCATGGTCTGAGTTCTGCTTTTCAAACATTTTTATAAAAGCACCATTCATTGACCTATCCAATGCAGACAATGCCACTCTAAAATTTACTGGAGAACATTAGGTGGGAGGGAATTAAAAAGCATTTTTTCACTCTTATAAACTAAACATCTGTAGTTTTGAAGAAACAAAATACCATTTAAAAAGCTATATTTTATGTAAGGGTTTTTTTTTTCCAAATTAAAAATGTAAAGTTCAAGAGCAAATTTGCTAATCTCTTGAACTAAAAAGCCCTGTAGTTACTGTTACCTGGTTTGGTGTGATCCATATAATCCCAAATGCAAAGCCTTAGGCACGTACAAAAATTCAGGTTATGTCAGAGGGGCCAGCGACAAGCCTAAATGTTTGAATAATAGTGGCATGAATATCTACGGCAACAAACACTTGTAGAAGTGTTACCTACTTGTTAACAATTTTGGGGGTTTGCAAAAGGTTGTAGTATCTATAACATTCTTGCTGGCTTTGTATTTCTGCAGGATTTGATGGCTAGACATCTGTTTTGAAATCCCTACAAAAAGTGCTCTAAAGTAATCTGTATTGCTACAGCAAAGCTCAGCTTTTCAGAAAAAGCAGCTGCTGTATTTTCTGGAATAAACACACAAACCATTTTCAAGACTTGACCCTTGATTCCTTCATCTCAGTACTTCTACTGACTTCAGGGAAGTCTCAGGAACACACAATGGGCTGTGATTCCACAGCCTTGAGCTATCCAGGCTGCTTTTCAGCCGCCTCAAGTAAAGCAGCCTCCCCACAGCTGTGCCGTTTTATATACCTGAAAGACAATTTCAAAAATTGTCATGGTCTTACTAGGGAATGTGGACATGCAATCATTACTAAATTGCCATAAAGTTCCATATTACCAATTTCATTATTACCAAACAACTTCAAGACACACCGTATCTTTGTGCTGCATCTCTTTTCATGCTGTAAGAAAACAAGAGCATATGAACGACTGTAAAAATGAAGCCAAGTGTACTGTTGAGAAACTTGGTATTCTCCTATTTCTAGGAGAGTTATAGTGTAATTCTAAACTGTAGCATTCAGCATGTCTCCTGAGTTTCCTTGCTGAAATATTGCAATGGAAATTTTACAGCATCTGTGTTGCTTTTGGAAGCCATCACCTCACATCTGCTGTCTCTGTAGTGTAGAGCTTAAGTTCAGCGTAAAAAGGTACTTTGTAATAGGCAATAGGAATCCTGACAGAGCGGTAATTTACAGACTCGCCCAGCTCTCCTGACTAGGCTCGCTCGTTTTTACATTCTGTAGAGATTTTTAAATGAGGGACTCTTCAAGCAGCCAACAGCATAACAGTCACTTCTTAAAATGGTGCATCACATCCAGGTCTAGAAAGAGACTTTTTACATCTCTGTCAGTCGCGGAGATTTCGGGCAGATGACAAATTTTTCATTCCGTTTTCTTCACGGGGCACTGTTCAATCTCTTTTCAGTAGGGTGTTAACTCAATTAGCACTAAAATAACCGACTGCTACTTTTGGAAAAGTTCTTATTTTGACCAGAAGTAATAATACATATTTAGTAGTGGGATTTTGTTTGTTTGTTTGTTTTTTATTTCATAGCCGGAGACGTGAGGCACAGAGGAGGGCGGCCGTGCCCCCCAACCACCCACGGGTCACGTCGGAACGCGAACCCTTCCCTCAGGTGGGCGCCGGGGTGGAAGGAGGGGGTTTTGCAAATTACCCAATAAACGTGTTTATCGCCCCATTATTGCCCATTTCCTCCCGGCGGGGTAATCCCTGCGTCCATCTGAACAGCCAGAGGGGAGCGGAGAGGATCCCGTTAGCGCAGCCAACAAACTTGGGACGGCTTTTTTGTTTGGCCTCACGCGTTTCGCTGCCTCCCGCCGCTCTCCACGGCCCCG